GCGCCGCATGGAGGCACTCGGATGGGCAACCCACCACTGTGACTCACGACTGTCGCCAGCTGCCGCTGGAGGAGCAGTCTTGAGCGAGTAAGCGTGAGTCGCAGTGCTGCTGCGTCATCTTCTTCCGACTTAATGGGAAAACTCGCAAAGTCAAGCTTAGCTGGGATGGCGCAGCTCAGAGGTTCGCCCGCTAATCCGAATCACGTACTGTAGGCATGCTCAATCACTCACGACTGTACGGTACGTGGATATCTTGCGGGCGGCATCAGCGGATGCATGGAACGATAACCCCTCGATGTCGCAGGCTGCTGGGCGCCTGCTCGTCATCGCATTGGTTCGAAATACGTACGTACGGTAGCTAAAGTGAATGCGAATATGGGAATTTGGGAATTTAGCGCCGCGGAGGCTTCCTGCTACAAGTCTCCAAATATTACCGGTGCGGTACCGAATTACCACCCGCTTCCCAAGCAGAGGCTTCGCGATAAGCTAGCTGCTATGCGCTCTCTTTGACCCTTTGGCAATCACGGCTCTTCGGGTGTCCAAAGAGTGTGCTTCGCTTGGACACCGATGTTTCAACGTCTGCAGCCGTGGATGCGGGTGCATCTGACGAGAGCACGCTGATCGAGAGGATTGGCACTTCGAGGAAACTCTCGTGTCATTTAATATGCCCCGCTCACTTCGCTTTCGCTCGTGCCACTTGAATTGATACCACATCTCACAGGCCAGTCTTGGCAAACAGCCTATGGTTGAGCCTCTAGATCCCCAATCGGATCTCCTACCGTTCAGTCTACTACGGCTACAGCAACGGCCTCTGCCAAGATGCCTCACGCGCAGGGAGATCAGACTGACGCCCAGCGGGTGGCTCAGGCCACTGTCATCTACTTGGAATGTCTGTTTAGTATCATGGTCGTAAGTTTCCGCTCAGAGCATTGGCGCTGCGCCGCGTGCTGACACGATTCGAGCCCTCCCCTTCGACCATCAGTGGGACTGGCTGGCGAGCCTGCCTACAGAGTGGCACCTGGTCTGGTCGCCAGTCATCAGAAGTCTGAAAGCAACGGAAAAGGATGCCGCCTTTCGAGCACCACTCGAGGTCAAATTACTCAGGAGCGCAACGCTACTGTGCTTTGTCGTGGTGCGCTACCTTGCTCTGATCGAGTTCGCGCTCTTCGTCTGGGCAGTCAACGTCGTCTGGACCTACGATGAATGCGCACGCATCCAGCATTTCTTCCCTTACGCTAGTGGACTAGTGGCACTGGCTGCGAACGGCATCATGTGCCTCCGCGTCATGGCCATCTGGAGTCGAGACAGGCTCGTTTCTATGTCGCTTGGAGGCATGCTCCTCGTCGTTATCGCCCTCGTCCTTTGGGGCTGTCAATGTGAGCTACAATCGCGTCTCAGAGTATGCGATTGGCGGTATCGCTAATGATTTTACTCTGTTCTGTTCCAGACACATCGCCACCCGAAGGCATCACCGCGTGCATACCAACGCCGACATCTACTCATCTCAATGTCCTCTATCTCGCGCCAATGGTCTACGACTTTATCATCTTGGTTCTCACCCTGACGCGGGCCATCATGCTCAACCGATCTGGTCTCATCGGGCCACTGCTCCGCACTATCGTCAGAGATGGCATTCTATACTTTTTTGCGGGTGCGTCGCTTCGCGCTGATCTTGGTCATTCTGCTTTGCAACCGCTCACCTGTCTCTCTTCGTTCATCTGTAGTCTTCACTTGTAACCTTCTTGCCGTTGCTTTCGAATTACAGACGGCGCAACCCTTGCTTCGACCCGTCAATGCATCCCTCGCAACCATTGGAACCGTGAGTCGTTTGACCTCATTTTGCCAATGTTCGGACGCGGCACTAATGATCGCCACATGGCCAATAAACACGCACACTGCCTTGCAGTCCATCTTCTGTTCCAAGATTTTCTTCGCCCTCAAGCGCGCCACCAACGCGCAGACGAAGCGAAATCAAAGCGAAAGTCTGCCCGGCTCTGGCCCCTACCCGCTCAATGTAGTTCCGGTGAATACCTCGTCATATTGGGCGCACAGCCCTTCAGATCAAAAGCCAGTAAGGCAGAATTCGTTTGCAAGCGAGAACTACGCGCTTCGCCAGGACGCCTTTGATCTCTCTTCAAGAATCGAAGACCAGCACATTCGGTCCGCGCCTCAAGCTCGACGCAGAGACGCTTTGCCCAGACCGGCCACGGTCCAGCGAAGGCAAGATGTGGACGGGGTGGTGCATCGGGCTCCTTTCACAAACTCGACGACACCTGAACGCGTCACCTTCGACGGCCACAATAGAGCTCACAGCGTTCCGCCAGCTGCTATCACCTCGAGCGATGACGAATACTACTCGTCTGGCGTGCGCGTCGACACGGAAAGAGTCGAAGTGGTTACGTGAGTCCAGTTCAATGCGCGTCGTGGAAGCAGACGCTGACGATTTGCTGTATTGTGCATCTTCTCAGAGCTTCGAGTGGCGGTGAAATCGCGCGAGAGCGTTCCGTTTCGCCTGGCAATTCCTCGATGCTTTAAGCCGAGGCCACTCCTCTGGTTATATACATCGGATGCTGCCGTGATGGGCCGCTTCTGCATATGCTTTACACATGCCCTTGCTTGTTTGCTCTCTCGTCGTTCGTGTAAAATACTTCTCTCGCACTCTGCTACAGTCAATGCTCGGCGTTCAATGTCATTCCCAGTCAGCATCGTTCACCCTGAAATCTACGAGACGGATCCGCGCGTGTGTGCACACCAAGGACCACCTACGATGCGCCATTGCGCTCTCTTTGCGCACGGCTTAGTGAGATGGGCAAGAAATTGCATTGCGTGGGGACATTGAAGATAGATGAATGGAAATACAAGTCAAAAGTCCGTGGCAAGTGAGTTGATCGTGAGGTGCGTGCTGCTCGTGTAGGGGCATGGGCGGCCTCCAAGGAGAGTGCTCGACTCGGCGCTCGATCCGCGTCGGTCCGCAAGCTCGCGTTGGATAACAGCGGCAAGCCTAAGGCCTGCCGATGGAGAAGTGGCCGGTCGGTTGTCCCTTGGCAACAGCACCGCCGACGACGATGCGTTGGAGAGCGGGATCAGCGCTACTTCCGGGCTGTACGGTGTAGTCGTACTCGTTCTTGCCGCTGTCTACTTGGCCAGGGACAAAGCCGATGTAGTGACCGTTTGCAGAAGAAGCAAAGGTTTGGAAGAGCTGACTGCTGTCCTCGGAGTACGAGCATGTGGAGAGCTCAAAGGCCTTCTTGGGAGTGTTTTCTCCTTGGTAGTCTGCCTTTTCGACGATGCGAACGCACTTGTCGCCGAATCGAATCTGTCCGTAGTGAGAGTCTGCGCTCTCCCGACCCTTGGTGCCCATGAACGTGCTCGGGCAGTCGTAAAAGTCAAACTTGGGTGCGACTTGACCGTTGTTCTTGTTGCCGATCAAGTACCGCACATTGCCCTGAGACAGGGTGATGCTGTCCACCTCGCCGCTGGTCTGGTCCAGGTAGAGCTGGCCAGAGTAGCTAGGCTTGGCAGCGCACTTGACGGTGCCGACTATCTGTGTGGATGCGCCCTCCGGAGAAGGCATGGGAGCTGCGAGAGTGGAAGCGGCGCAAATGAGCGCGACAAAGGCAGTGAAGCGGAACATGATCGATGGATGGCGTATGTTTGAGACTGGGAGGAAAAGTTGCCAAGAGATGCTGGAAGCTGGAAGTTGTATGAAGGCTGAGAAGGACTACAAGCTGGATGAAGGACGGAAGAGACGATGATGGCCCCGAAAGACTCCCTTCTTATACCTTTCCACCTCGACCTCCCAACTCCAGAGCCCAGCGCCAGACACAGCCTCATCGAGAGACGAGACGATGACGAAGATGACGTTCTGAAACATCTGCGAACAAGAAAGCATCCATCTTCGCGCGGTATGCCGATGGACAAGCTGCGAAATGTCTGGTTGCTGTCAAGCCGGTCGTCGCGAGAGGAGCGGAAGCTATCATGCAAGCTCGCAGCAGCTTAATTCGTCGTTGGATCTCGATGGCTGAGGCCCGAGGCCGGGGTATCTACAGCTGTGACTTTGTCTTAGCGCGCGCGCATGGAGGATAGGCGCGGTCCCCCGCGCGGCGCTTGATGCTCGGCGTATTCGGATATGCGGCGTGCGTCGGAGAACCGGCGTCGGCACCTGTTGGCGTCAGCTAAAGGCGGTGATGGTTGAACATCTACATGCTGTAGCCTCAATTAAACCTGTCGTGAGGATCAATCGGATCGGTGCGTATATCAGTGATTCTTGATTCTTGATTTTGATTCCGTGATCCTGAGTTCACTCATGGAAATCACGTGAACAAGACTATCACGGCTAGCTTCGCCCATGCGCGAAGTGTGACCGGTCTGGGTTCTTGTGACGTCAACCGTTTCACAATTCGAGATGCCTACACAAAATTGGCGGCGCTATAGGTCACGAGGGGGGCCATACATCATCAGGATTCAGATTGTCCTGCCCTGCGATGCTCGGCAGAGCTGAAAATGCATTTGCCGTATCCGTGATTACCCTGCAATCAATCAGAATGTAGCTCAATGAGCTTTACTGGACAGCATCTCGACGACCACGTGCAGTGCATACTCCTCACCATCACCGGCAGCGTCGACACCGCCCCGACCTCGCAATCAAAAATTGGGAGACACTCGTGACTCTACAATGTGGGTCCAAAAGGCTTCGGCCCAATTGCTTATCACAGCATTGCGGCTCGTCTTCAGTCAAAGTGATGGGATAGCAGGTGGTACCGTTGTGTGTGTGCAAAGGTGTCTGTCGGTCACGTGCAGAGGTAGGAAACCCCATGACCGAGGTTGCACCGGGCGAT